GTGTGTGTGTGTGTGTGTGTGTGTGTGTGCCTGGAACGTGACTCTTTATTGATGTGAATTATTTAGCTGATTGTAACTCACACACCTTTTTTGGATTAGAAGTAGAAATGTGCTTTTTTTGTTCTGAGTGACCATGACAAACCGATATAACAGAAACGGTCACGTTATGCCAAAAAAAGGTATTCATTCAGTCGTACACATACACTCGCACACACTCAGTAGGTGAAGCGTCGCACCAGCCGTGCTTCATATGTATTCAAGTATTCAGCCAAGGCTGGTGATGTTGGAGCGACCACCCGGGGGTGCTACAATGCGGTGGCCAGAGCGACGTGGGATATTGTCATCAATCTGTGCACCTAAAATGAGGACAAAATTTATATATTAGATGGCTCTAATTGCAAAAGAAATCAATTTTGCATAACTGTGTATTTAGAGTACATTCTGTTTGAAAATATATTACTTTTCTTACCTGAAAGGCTGAAGTTGGACTGGTGAAGATTACGTATTGGTGGTGGCTGGTGAGAAGTGGGAGAGGTTTTGGCTGACGGTGAAGGAGTAATGTATTTGGGAGTCGGAGCAACATCATATACAGGGCCATCATATATCCCCCGAGTTACACCCTGCTTACGCTTTACCTGGGCAGAAAACAGACAGAGACACAAACAAGCCAACCTATTATTCATTCTTTAGAAGCGAATGGCCTGCAGCACATTAGTCTCCATAATACGAGACTAATTGGCTCATTTGTATTTTGCCTGAATCACCTACTGGTGAAAAAAGAGAGAATAATGATCATGTTTCTAATCAATTCAGCTCCTGTTTTGTTTTGTTTTTTTCTTTTTCATTATCATAACATAATAATCTGTACAAAAGGTAAAAATAAAAATCCCAAATTCCTCCAACCAAGGTTAGGTTGTACAATTATTTAATTTACAGAGTCTTCTTCAAATCTTTATTTGCCTCATTTTGGGGGCATATTTAAATTTTTACCTTTTTATGAGGACTTGCAGCAAGATAAGGAAAAGAAATCCTCAAACATCTACTACCCAATTAATCTGTCAATGAAATTTTTCAATGTGACATTTATAACACTGCTTTTTAAGTATGTTTAAAATCTTCTAAATGCTCTACCTCATTCCTGAACTTTACACGCTGGTAAGCATAATCTGGGAAGGGTTTGCGTGGAATAAATCGACCAGTGCCCTGCTGAGCATGCAGCTTTCCTTCTTCATACACCACCTGGCCTTGAATCAGCACCAGCACTGGACCTCCGCGACATTCCAGACCCTCGAAGATGTTGTATTCTGCAGCCTGTGCAGAGAGAAAATATGAGACAAAGAAGTACAGAAAACAGAGGATTATTTGATTTTACCAAATACTGTACAGTGTTTAGCCTCTCTATGCAGTCAGGGCAAGCTTGTTTTTTATCATAGGGTTTAATAGATGCAGCAAAATGCAGCATATGAGAAGATGGGGGATAAATAAGTGGGGGGCAAGGGGATACGGGGGGTGACTGTATAAATTCAGGGGGATGGGCGGAGATATAACAAAATGGGTGAGGGGTGAAGGGAGATTATAATTTAAATCTGGCTTCAGTCTGGATTAGGGTCTTTGGGAGTGGCAGAACAGACCAATAAATGAACTACGGTGTATTGAGTTACATTTTTGAAAGCAATTTTGTTTTACCATTTGCCTATAGCTCATTTTGTTTTGCAGATAGATTTAGTCTTATCCTTCACACAGACACAGCTGTCTGTGTGATAGCTGCTGCTGTTGAAAAAGGTGAAAAGGCTTCATCTGTGATGCTTAAAGGATTAAAACAACAATGTCCTGATAATCCACGGTCCATAGCGTGAACTCGGGAGCATGGTTATTGTTCCGTGTCATTTTCAGTAGACTCGGTGTCGGTTTCACAATACGAAATTTCACTTGCCATCTCTGATTTTGAGAGAGAAATGTACAAAATGCACATTTGACCGCACATTTGCTCAGACCCGAACACAATAAGAATGAACAGCTATTCATGTGTAAACTCTGTCTCATCTGCCTTTACGAAATATTATTTTAATTAATTTAGGAAAAAACTTTTAAAACACTGAGGCTTACTATTTTGGTTCTAGCACACATATATGATATATACTGAGTAAAATAAAGCTAGACTTGACTGCATATTATTATTCAGGTTTCTGTTCCCCTCTCGTGATCTTCCACATGGTTCTTATCCTATTTTACACTCTGCAGTCTCCCATGAAACCTTCTGTTGTGCAGCCTCTGTCTAGACCTCCCCCCCCCCTTATTTTATTAGTTCTTCTCCCTCTCTCCGATTTACCCACCCTCTCTTTTCCCTCATCATCTTTCTTTTCTTTTTGTCCTCACCGACTGCTGGAGTTTGGCAGTGATGGTTTTGACGCTGTCAGGGTCCCAGATGACAATGTCTGCATCAGAGCCCGCAGCTATCCGACCCTTACGTGGATACAGATTGAAGATTTTAGCAGCGTTGGTGGATGTGACTGCCACAAACTGGTTTTCATCCATCTTCCCCATGGCCTAAGGGAAAAAGAAGTGGATGTTTAGAGTGCTACACAAAAACCTCACACCTACACAAAAGAAACAACGAAAACATGCCCTCATTGCTCACCACTGCCTTTTCCCAGACAAAGCCCATTCTCTCCTCGACGCCGTTGATTCCTTCGGGGATCAAGGTGAAGTCATCTTTACCAATAGCTTTCTGGGAGGTGCTGTAAGCGCAGTGAGAACTGCCCACCACCTGGAGGTCCCCACTGTATCAAGGCAACAAAATGAAGTGAAATCATCAGCAAACACTTAAGGATGCAGTCATTGACTTGTCTAATGTTAAAAGGTTCCCTGACAAATTGCTAAAAGTTTTAAACCCCTCAGAGAGCTCAGTCTGCAGAAATAGCAACAAATCAATAAAATAAAAACGTTTACGCTAAAAAAAAAAAAGACAGAATGAAGAAGACACATACAGAGAAGTTATTTTTTAACCACTAGCCACCAGGTGTCCTCACTGAGCATGTAAGGTAAAGTATGTCAAGTCATGCAGTGGCCTATTGCAGAAAAACAGCCAACTGAACTACAGAGAATGGTGCAACACAGCTGCAGTATCAGTCCTTTAAACATTAACTAGATTAATGCTCAGTCTGGTCTGCATCATTAAAGAAAGCCAACAAGACTTATGCTCGCTTTAGCTCTGAATAAATAAGGCTGAATCCGGCTGATAAAGAATTGTGATTGTCACGGTTCAGTTATAAGACCTTTAATTTATTTGTTAATTACAGTGATTACTCCGTGTTAGTGAGCTGTGGGATCGTCACCTTAATGCCAAGAAAGTGCTTATTATGTAAATAATGGGCTTCACTGAAATCTGAGGGGGGAAAAAAGCTGTTCTTGTGTTCATGTCTCCGAAAACGAACCTGAGGATACACCCTGTTGTTTCAGGAGTGGCTCAAAGAAAACAGCAGTATCACACCACCGGCTTGACAGCATGGACCCGCCTTGAGAAGTAGGAGCTTCAGACGAAGGGTGGAGAAACAGAGGAAGATAGAGGAGGAGGAGAAGGAGGAGGGAGGCACTCGGTAGCCAAGGCAACAGATAATAGAGGTTTCAGTGCTATTTGTGGAATCGGGGGCATTTTAAAATGTGCAGCTGGAAGTTCTCCGCATTGTGTGTGTGTGATATGTGTGACGGGTGCGAGTACTGTGTCTGAGGTAATACCTGAGGTGAGTTTGGCCTTGACTTGCACTTATGCATAGGTACAAGTTAACCAACCATTATCGTGTGCTTGACTGAATATACAGTAAAGTGGCTTCCAAATGATTATGTAGTCCTTAGTCTGTAATTAAGTCTCTCTTCTCTTCTGCCTCTCCTCACACCTTCACCTTCTCTCCATCTGTTCTTCTGTTTCACTGAAGTTTGATCTAAAATTCTGCATAACACTAGCAGCTGTTTGTGGCATGAATACCAAAGAGTGTGTAGGGGTAAAACGTAAGAGTCTCCTTTTGTGTCTTCGATCCTATTTGCATTTCACATTGAGCAGAGGTCATACTGTAGCTAAATTAAGCTTTTGTCTGCCTTTACTTAAATACTAAAAGTTTTTGCCTGTTTTAGGGTTTATGAAACACTCTTGACACTGCACATTTTCTCAGACTTCATACAAACTACTTGTTGTAAAACTCTGGAGTCTTCTATAAATTAAATTACTACAGTTTTTAGCAATATCCATTCACTGTTTAAAAAGAAAAAGTGAGACGTACCAGGCCAGCAGGGTGTGAAGATGGTCCGGGGTTGTCTGGTCAGGACTTAAAGGTGGAGAGGTCACGTAGGCAGCAGCCTTGGCCCAGTTTTTGCTCCAGTAGTGCGAGCCATCAGTGGCCAGGCTAGCTGTAATTGGCTCTCCGAAAACCACCGAACCTGAGCAGAATAGTAGAATGGTTAATTTCATCCTTAATAAAGACAGAAAAGGACATTATATGATTAAGAACTACCTTTCCTCCGGGCCTGGGTGATAGTGTCAGCTGCACTCTTGCTCATCACCTTTGTGATGTAAACAGGACAGTTCACACGATTGCCAAGAGTGATGGCACGGAACACCGCCTCAGCCTCCAACTGCACAGGAAGGGAATAAACTAGAGCCAAGAACCTATACAGTGGCAGGTGAATTGATTAACAGTGAAGCTATGGGGGGGAAAAAAATCACCTCTTCGGGACGACTCAGAGGATGGCCTTCTGGGCCAGTAATTCCCATTCCAAGTATTTTTTGCTGTTCCTGCAAAAAAAAATTTTTTTATAAGAATAACAAAAGAATGTCAGAATTATCTTCACATGCAATGCAATCACTGACAGCTGTACATACAGTAACTGTACAGCCATGTTTGAATGCCTCTGATGAGATTTCAGGAATTAGAAATAACAAATCTTTTGGCCTGTCAAGCTAAAATAAATATGCAGTGTAATCTTCGAAAGCCAGCGCACAGCTGGAAGATTAAGCACATTTCAGTTTCTCTGAAAACCTGGATGACAACCAGATCCCCACCCTGCTCCCTTTTTAGTGTTTGTTTGTTCTCTATGGGGTTGATATGAATTTTCATCACCTATCTCCCTATTTCTCTTACAGTTAGTTTAACAAGCGTGTCATGATCATTCATCAGCACTGCAATTATCTTCCATTACCCTGATTCATCTTCACATACATCAAAGTTTTTGCCATAATTGTCTCATTAATCTGGGCCATCATTTCCATGACCACAACTAATACTTGCCATCACTTCTGCTAGCTATATCAGCACCTTCACCCTCACCAACTTAATCACCATTACATAATCATCATCCTCATTAGAATAATAATGGTCAACTTTAATGGTGGCCTAAGATAAACATGTCATTCTCAACTGCAGCTGCAGCTGCAGGCGTATTAATCCTTGCTTTCTCTTTCTGAGAGATGCTGCATTATGTAACAAGAATATCTCTAAGCTGTGGTGCATGCTGGAGAGAGCAAAAAAAAAGGCAGCAGCACTTACCTACATAATAAGATATCCTTTTTCAGCAGGCAGTAGCACTTACCTGAGCAATAAGATCACCATTTTCAGCGTGAACTAACACCACAGCACCCAGCTGCTTCAGAAATGAGAATGCCTCATACAGCTAAAAGACAAGAACACCAATTTTCAGATTTCTACTGTTAAAAACAGAAGCCAGAGGATTCGTACAGTACAGATTCGTGGAATTTATGAGTATAAAACATACCTCTGAATCGGTCATCTGGTACACATCCTTATAAGCCATGTATACTTGAAAGGAGTTGATACCTGGCAACAGAAGAAACAATGAACGGCTTCATAATGAGAAAGTAAATACTCAGGAGCATGGATAATAAAGACAAACTGTAGTGAGTAGGAATGGAAAGCAGTGCGTGTTTGTGTCTAGCCAAATAATACAACTCCTAGAAGGAAGCTGGACACACAAGCAGCTGGTTTATCTCGTATGGTGACTTTTAAAGCTGCCCCAGAAGAAAATGCTAATTTTTCTACTCAAACAGATTACAAGTGAAATTTGCACATGGCCACAATGACAGCAGTGAGAACAATGGCTCTCTACAGTGTCTTGACTCTAAGAGGATTCAGCACTTTAGCCAAATTGTTTCTAAATCTGTCCCTATTGTTCTTGTGAAATGTGCCCAAACTAGGGATTGAAACAAGAACTGCAAGAAAGGCCACATCTCTAAAATATCAAAAAATAATTAAAAATGGACGTACCTTTGTCCTGCACCAGAAGCTCCAACTCATCTTTAACATTTTCATTCCACTGGGGGATGTCTACGTGCAGAGAGTAATCACAGCAGGCTTTCTTGTCTGCGGCCTCCTGCCAGCGCTCAAACGCCTCCAGCAAACTGTCACCAGGCTGAGGGGCTACATGGTCAACTGAAAATTAGGAAGGGCACAAGGCATAGAAAAAAGAAAGAGCGTAATCAGTATTTTGAAACACTTAAAGACAAATGTAGATATGGTATGTGCTATACTGTAGCTGACACTTGCTGACTAAGTCTAAGCATTCACACTCACTGATCATAGTGGTGCCCCCAGCAAGTGCAGCCTTGGTGCCCTGAAAGAAGTCATCAACAGGCTGTGTGCCCAGATAGGACTTCATCAGGCAGGTGTTAACATCTATTCCACCTGGTATCACCATGCGGCCATTGGCCTCGATCACCTTGACTCCCTCAGGGACAACCAGGTTCTCCCCCACCTGCCTACCCAGGATAAGATGTGCAAAAACAGATGAATTGATGAAAGGGAAAAGGAAGCCAAATTATGGAGGTGTGAAGATTATGGAAAAGATTTGTCATGGCAAAATACACATGGGAATGCAAAAGGGTTGAGAAGATGGAAAAGAACACAAAAAGAAAGGAAGAGCAAAGAAATGTAGAAAACAGCCTGTGCAGTGCTTAAAACAACACGCTCATACAATGTCCCCAAATACGCACTTGATGAGCCCGTCTTCAATGTAGACATCTGCATAGAAAGACTGGTCATCATTAACAACTCGCCCTCCTTTGATCAGCAGCCTTTCACTCTGCAGGGGAAAAGCACAGAAAGGGAGATCAGGGAGGGAGAGGTTGAACTTAGTCCTGACATTTTGATATATTGCACAATCAGTTATGTAATCCATGGCTTTATAGCAATATAACATGATGTGGTGTAGTGTGGACAGAAATGCATGGCCACACAAGAGCTGTACCTGAATGGGGCGCCAAAAAAAAGTATCTTTCTGTTATTTCAATTATGTGTGCAATCAAATACTGAACATTCACAAACAGGGTGTTGAAACCAGCACGTTTTTTGTGAGACCACCACGTGTCCACACCCTCTACTACTACGGATGGTGCCTGGCAACAGCATTAGGAAGATGTTACGTCTCCATGGTAACCAGTGATCAAGCAGAGTTTGGCATGACGACAGCTGACGGCTTGCCGAAAAATCAACGTCTTTGACCAATGAGAAGGCAAAAGGGGGGAAGAATATGCAGACATTATTTGTGTCTTAACCTTCAAATTCAATGTGTAACTCTAGGCTTAAGATCCATAGACACTGGATAATTCTCAAATAACAGACGTGCCAAATGTGTAAAATCCACGCTTGAACACAGACTGAAAAGGATGCACGTCGTTTGTTAAAATCTAGCTTCACATTTCGTTGCTTTTAAGCAAGCAATTGTCACTTGCTCGACTCCAGTTTCGATCGCACACGTCAACCGAGTTAATCTCTCTGACAGGCAGCGAGATTATACAACATTATCCAACCAGGAGCGAGAAAACGCGCTCAAACACAACGCACTGTCACCTTTCTTTGGCGTGCAGTTTCTCGTAGGGGCAGCATGAGAAAGCCTTAAGTGAGGTAACTTTCAGTAGGAATTTAATCCGTATTCATGTATACATGACTGCTGGTCGCTGCTGAGCAGGCCGGCTCGCTTACCGTCAGATGGGGGATGCTGTTCTTGGACCCAGACATGCTCTTTCCGTCGCTCTGCCCCCTGGCAGTTAACTCAGAAGCGAATTATACCGACTCCGGCGCCCCTGCGCGGCTTCCTGCTCCCCTTTGTCTCCACTGATGTGATGTGGGTTTTGTTTCCGTGTGTGACAGAAAGCGAGCGATGAATCCGCCGCCGTACGGCTGCGTCAGGCTGCGTGGCGCGCGCACAGTGGAAGAAAGCTGAAGTTCCTGTGGGCGCGCGCGTGAGGAAAAGCTCACAGCCACCGTATTGCCTGACGACGTTCACGACACGGGGGGAAAAGACAGCTATAGGCCGTATGTGAAGACACGAGCACCCTCACACCCACTACACACACACACATCTTACTTCAAAGCATAAACAATGCAGCGTGGAGGTTGGGTGGGGGTGCATGTTGTCTGTCGCTGTCCGATTCAGCACCACGGCAAGCAAAAAATATGTGTTGCTTTGTTGCGCGCGTTTTGCGCCTTTTATTGAGAATTTAAGCTTAACGCAATCCATAATAGCCAAACTGCAATGCACCATAAAAAGTTCATAATTTATGCAAACTGACGCCTTTGTCAGGAAAATAACTCTTGGTTCCTGGTGTCCCAAAACGAAACCAGCATAGCTTTTTTTGGTGGTTTATGAGTAAAAATTAATTTTATCCTCTGCGTAGGCCAAAGGTTTAACCAAAGGTTAAAGTCTAGTGGCACTTACTGGTGCACTTCATTAATAAATTATAGTTAGGGAACGACGGAGCCATTGCACTATCAACATATGTCAACAAAAAGCCACAGATTGAAGCTGTCAGTCCTACCTTGCCATTAGGACTTTCCGTCCCCGATGAAAATCTGACCTCAGCACCACTGCGTGCTTCGTTTCTCTCTCCGGGCGAGCCGTTCAGCGACGACTCCCGGGCCTCGCTGGGCGTCTTGCTAATGGGGTCGCCGGTGTCTAAGAGTCGTTCCCGGCTCCCGCTTCTCGGGGTGCGGCTACCTTTTCTCCCCACCGCGTAGTTTTCGAAGTCTATGGTCTTGCTCTCAAACGCCCCCTCGACGGAGCTGAACATACCATAGGTCTTCCGCTGGTTCGGCCCGGTGGTGATCGGCCCTGCTAGGTAGACAGGTAGCTCATCCTCCCGGTTCCACTGTCTTCTGCAGTCAGACATATTGGCTACAGTGGGAGACGCACACTTCCCCCCCAAGTCTGAAAGGATGGAGACGGCTTTGCTTATTTTACGTCTAACCGGGTCACAGTCCCGCCTCTCCAGGCAAGCGCACTCATTCGATGATGTGAACTGGAAAAGCAGCTCTCTTCGGGCAACCTAGAATCCTTCCTCTTCATACACACATGGTGCAGTGCTCCCGTTTTGACAGGACTGGTGGCGTGTCAGTGTGAACTAGTTTTAAAGTGAAGCATTTGTGCTGAAAGAATAAGTAAGCAGATCTACAACTTACCCCGATACATTTAGATTCGGTGTTTTGGCCTCTTTGTGGAGGACCTCTTTGTCTCTCTCCAGTGTGCCCCTTTCTCGTGTTTTAATGTGGGGGGTTGTGTCTGAGCAAGACACATCATTATCATCGGATTAAATCAGCATCATCTTTCCATCCACATCTGGGGGGGATCATCCACAAAGTCCATGTGCCTTAGGGCTTAACTGCGGTTGTCACACAAAGACCTGCTTTACATCAAAGACCATGCGAGCTAAACGAGAGCTACCCTTTCTAGTTCCTTCATCTTCAATTATGGAGGCCTGCCCTTTCCAGGGCGTTCCATATGTACTCTCGGAAACGGGATGATGGGCGGCGGCTGTCCCTCAGCACTTGGACAGGTGGACTGCTACAAACATTAACACAGCAATAATACGTGCACACGCATTATTATTATTATTATTATTATTATTATTATTATTATTATTATTATGTATTTGTCCTCTTTAGTATACTGATACAAGTGTTTCTCTACTACATGCCTCATAATGATCAACTACACTGATGTAAAATCCTGTCTCTCCTTAATGAAATAATGAAAGGATCATAAATCCTCGTCTAATAGAACATCGGGTATTAATAACAATACGACATTTACTTTTGAAGTAACCGAGAGATGGTAAACAGGTATACATAAGAATCTCCTATTTTAATTCATATGCGATTGTGTTTGTATCTGATGATTACAGCAATTGTGACTTATATAATTATTTTGGTTTTATTTATTAGTCATTTTAATGATTTCTATTTTACTTTCACAGCATCTCAGGGTGCAGGATCGCTGTCCTCTGCCATATAAAGACACAATCGATTAAGTGTAGGCCCGTAGCGTTTGATCTGGGACCCCGTAATCTACTTACATGTGTCTACTGCTCTAGCTATAGCTAAAATAACTGCACGTCCAGGCTTGAACTTTAAAGCAAGACAACCTCAAGTTTGTTTGTTTTTTCTTTTTAAAATTGGAAGTGCATTGGGGAAATGTTTAAAGAATCGCCATAAAACATCCGCAAAGCATCCGTCACAGGTTTAAAAAGCTAAAAACCAATCAGGTAAGCTGTTCCTTTGACGGACATTTGCAGTCCTTGCAGTGTGAGAGCCTGTTTTAAGAGGGCGGGCCACAAAGTTGTGGCGTCGTTTATAGCCCAGAGTTTGACGGCAGCGAGCAAGTGTGCGTCTCTGGTTACTCGGGGCTGTTTGGTGAGGATTAATCTGGAACATGGAATACACACTCAACATTCAAATCCAGGAGGGTGATTGTCTTGAATCCTAAAGAAATCTGCTCATTTAGTAAACAGGTAATGATTATTGCTTTACTGTATGTCATCATAGCGCAGTTTTAATGTTGAAGATTTGCTCTAGTTGCTGACGTTCCGAGTTCTCCTGTTGCCTATTACTTCATGTCAGTCCCTGCTTGCTGCTCTGATGCTTTAATGCGGAGTAATTACAGTACTTTCCCGAAGCACCTCTCATTTACCTCGCGTTTTCTCAAATTTTTATGCTGTTGTATATTTTTTTAATTAGCCTTTTTCTTGCTTTGCACTTTTAGCCTGCTTTATGTAAGAATTTGTTAAGTTCAAAACTTCAATGAGAAGGTCTGTTGTTATGGACGTAAGATGTCTGTAGGTGAATCCTCCAAATTCTGTAACAGGGAGTTCAGAAATTTCACTACCCAGCTAAAATATACATTTTCTCTCACCCTGTTTTTATTTTAGGAGAGATGGAGAAGGATTTGTCATCAACACCAACTAGTGTCAACGTCCAGGGGTCGAGCCCTGTCCTGGATATGCCCTCTTGTCCATCCCCCATGCAAATTCCTCTTTCACCCATCTCCAGTAACCTCTCTGCTTCTCCCACTCAGCATGAAAAATCACCAACCTCTCTGGAACCCAGAAAATTACCCAGTTCTTCGCCACCATCTACACATACTACTGCTAAACAGATGGATCCCCCCCTTTCCTTAGCCAAGTCAAAGCCCTTATCTCCTGCTGTGTCTCCTAGCTCTACATGTAAGACCGTTTCTACTAATCCCTCCCTTAGTGCTCCGATCAGAACACCCCTACCAGCTTCTCTCACCCTTGCTGACCCTCAAACTTCCACAATTTCACTCACTTCCGACCTCACATCTGCCTCCTCAACAGCTACTTCCACCACGGCTTCCACATCTTCATCCATGGCCTCCGCAAAACGCACTTTTGCTTCCATGGCCAAACGGGTAATCATACAGGAAAGACTTAGAAAAGCTGAGGAAGAGGATACCTTTGATGAAGAGGATGGTAAGAATAGTTTCATTCAAATTGAGGGATTAAATGACAGATTTTGAAGGTTCAGTGCTGCTGAGAGGATGTCATAGACCAGTTGCTGTGTTAAGGTGATAAGCCTTCTGCATGCTTTGGAATGTCTTTTCATGTAACCCTGTCCCGAGGAAAACACAACTCTTGTCAAGAATCCAGAATGCAGATCCACTTTGGCTTCCTTTGTTTACTCATTTGAATACCGTGCTGTAAAACATTTTGGGATGCTTTTTTTCCCAGTGAATTAAACACAATAATCGAAATAATGCAAAAGGCTTTTACTTAAATATCTCAGCAACTTGTTATGGCTTGCATTTAAATCTGTAGGGCATTACACAGGGACATTATGACTTTGGTAGTCTAAAACTCCAATATGAGGTTCAAATCTATGAAACAATATTAGTTGCGTTGCCGTGGAATTTTGTGCACAAAGTCATGTCCCCTCATTGATAGAAATAATACACCTTTTTCATTGTACATCATGATATGTTTCATGTATCACAATAAATATTTTATCTGTCAAGTGCACTAATTTTATAACCTCACTTCCAAAAGTTGGGAAGGTGTAAATGCAGTTTTAAGAAGAATGCAATGATTTCCAAATCACATAAACTCCATATTTCGTGGAAAAATATACAAAGGCAATCTGTAAAATGCTGAAACTGAAGAAATTGTATTGTCATTGAAAAAATATGAATTTTGCAACAGAAAAGTTAAACAGAAGTTGCTCATTGTTTAATAAGTCAATTTTACAGCCTAAATTTGGTTGGTTAGCAGCATCACTGGTTTAAAAATGTCTGCCAAGAGTAACAATAGGAAGGTTTCAGCACTCTCTGAAAGTTTAAATATGCAAAAAAGTATTACTATTTAAAGTTTATTCTATAAAAAAACAAAGCACAAAAAGAATTTGATTGTGTCATTGTACACTCAAAAATTAACACTCACTCTGCTGGATGTAGACCTGGTGACTGTGGGGCCCATTTGGATACACTGAACTTATTGTCATGTTCAAGACACCACCAGTTTGAGTTTCCTGACATGGTGTTTTATCCTGTTGGAAGCAGCATTTTTTTTTTTTTACCCTACAAGAAGATGGCTAACATTGTTAGCAACAACACTCAGGTAGCCTGTGGTGTTTAAACTATGCTCAGTTGATACTAAGGAGTCTACAGTGTGTCAAGAAAATATCCTCCCTAAACCTTGGTACAATAAAAAATGCATTGTACTTTCATGTTGCATATATCAAAATCTGACCCCACTATCCAAATGTCATAGCAGAAGTCAAGACTCCTCAGACCAGGCAATGTTTTTCCAATTTTTGTGTTGTCTGGTTTTGGTAAGTATGTGGGAATTATAGCCTCAGTTTCCTGTTCTTAGCTGACAGAAGTGGCACCTATTGTGGTCTTCTGCTGTGGTAATCCATCTGCTTCGGGTTTTAATGTGTTCTCAGAGATACTCTCCCTTGCATACATTGTTTGTGAAAGTAAATATTGAGTCTCCTAACTGTCTCCTGTCTCCTAACTGTCAGCTTAAAGCAGTATGGCCATCTTTCTCAGACCTCTGGTAACAACAAGGCATTTTTGCTAAAAGAACTGCTGCTCACTGGATATTTACTCTTTTTCAGACCATTCATAGGAAACCCTAGAGATGACTGTATAATCAGATTTTTATGTATAATAATAAAACTGTTCATAATGTACATTTTCCTTAAGTACTTTAGAAAACCGACACTCTTGTCTCATTGACATTTTGTGGTATTTCAATATATTCCATAGCTGTTGGAATTGAAAACAAGATCCTGGCTTCACCAGTTGGAGATCTGCTATACGTGATAAGCTGTGACATTTGAAATGCAGTAAGGGCTAAAGTTGAAGAGTGTCAAGCCCTTTTCTTAATGGACAGCGGGGGGACAGTTATGAAACTTTTACAGCTGACAAGTGCTGTGAGGTAAAAACTGGGCACGGTGTTGCTAGAAGCTTTGAGGTTTTGTCAAAAAGTTATTGGCAGTTAATTAAAATTGATATACATGATTTATTTATTTTTTATTAAGACATATTGTGTCCTCTCCTGCAGATGAAGAACCAGAGGAAGACGTGTCTGTGGAGCAGCTTGAGGAGAAGGCCATAGGCGGTGATGCCAGAGCTCAGGCCCGTGTAAGTGAAAGCACATGCACAGACATGCACAGACAGGCTCTTGGCATTGTTTTCAGTCCTGCAAGCTGACTCAGTCTGGTTTTCAGCATGTGCCTATTTTGGGCCACTTGGAAGATGATCCCACAATTTCAGTGTGACACACTAATATACTGTCATACTTACAAATCATTAAGAAGTGTAAAAGTTAAAGCATACTGTAGCATGTACTGCTGCTGTATAAATAACAATGCAAAATTCACACTCTGTTTACTCCATGTTGTCTGCCAGCGCAAACAAATTCAAGGGTGGTAGAAGTGACATTCCCAAGTGTCTTGTCAACATTTGGTTCAACATTCTCTTGCCAGATGTCATGTATTTGCACATACCCACTGTCTAAATAAGGAGAGGGTGTGCATATCTAAGAGAACACATGCAAACCTGAGACCATATCAGTACAGCAGCTGGATGCTGAGAAGCATTGGTAGGCTTTCCATTTGTGCATTATGGTATCCCAATAGGCAAGATACACATTATAATATTTACAGTACTGTCCAATACTCCAATTCAAAGCTTTATTTTATTTTAAAAACATTTTGTCACTCTAGCAATTAAAATGAGTTTTATGATGGTATTTTATTTGTTTGTCTGATAGACACAGGAATACACAACTGCAGAACCATTAAAAACGAAGACACATCTGATTCCACACAAATAGGGACATTTAATAATAACTGAGTGAGAGGGAAGTTTATGAAATGACAGTTAATATTAGAAAGCAGTCACTTGATATGCCACAGGGGCCACTGCTGCCCCTGTTAGTTAGACATGACGAATGCCCCGACGGCTACAGAAACAGAAAATAATACATTCTGAAGTCATGTGTTCTTGGTGCATTATATGAACTTTACTATGAACTGTTTTGATTGGAGCTCACAAACAAGTGTAAATCCAATAATCCTTGAGGATTGTTCAAAATAACAAGAGAGCTACTGGAAATACAAGTTCCTGTTTAATTACATTTTTGTGCCACTGCAGATTAATTTTGATGACAGTGAATGTCGTAGCTGGAGGTGTTGCTTTTTTTTCATCTGTCTCTCCCATTTTTTTCATAATGTTAATATTTTAGGAATACCCTCAGGGAAGTTCTTAAGCTTTAGCACAAACGTTCACTTGATCTCAAAAATGAAATTATTATTATTTGGTTGCTAAAATTCAGAGGTCAGTGTGACCTCACGTAACACATTTTTGGCCATAACATTAAGTATGCATACACCAATTATGACCAAAACACTTCACATACATTTTTAATGGGATAAAATTAATATGCGATTCTGTTTCTGTCCAAAATACAAAAGAAGCTCAGCTATGATTTCACTATGGCATAATGTTTTATGATAACACTTTTTGGGGCATTGTTCACTGCTGTATCTTGGGAGCTAGGAAAAAGATTGTAGTAGACATACAGTTTTGGACATACACGATTTTTTGTAGTTTTGCCTTTAACACCACAGTATAACAAGCTTGCTTAAATACATATCCATGCATGCAGTACATTAAGTAAGCTGAAATAATCTGGCCCTTTTACCTCTCCTCTGTCTTTCAGCTTGGTCAGCACTACTTGGGTCTTGCTAAAGAGAAGGATACTGAAACAAATAATCTGCTGGCTGTCAACTGGCTTGTTAAAGCAGCAAAACAGGGAAGAAGGGGTGCAGCAAAAGCCCTGCAGCGCTGCTGGATCCAGAAAAAAGGTTCATTTAACACAAGTATCACGTGTGTTAAAGTCTTTATGTTTCTGTTCTATAACTTAAGCTCACTTCCACTAGGAATCACTCCAGAGAATGAGGCCGATGTCCGCAGGTTGTCGACAGAGAGTAAGTTTGAGCTGGCAGTACGCAAAGCAGCCATGCTGATGTACTGGAAGCTAAACCCAGACAGGAAGAAGAAGGTGACTGTATCTGAGATGCTGGAAAATGTCAACCAGGTGAATGCAGTTCCAGGTAGGAGAGACAAACTCAGCCACAGATATTTTGATAAATTCATCATTAAAAAGTATTAACTATTTTTGAATGGTGAAAATAATGCTGCATGATGTACTAGTGGCTATACCTAGAAGGATTTAGTATGCTGTTATGCAATAGCTGTCACTACTGCTGGAAATATGAGATGCCCCTGTGTGATTTTAATATTTGCAGCTGTTACAATGAATAGTTTCATGTTACCAGCTTTCATCCAGCTCAATGGTGGTGTGGTCGTTTCTCACCAACAGGTGGCACTGCAAGCAGCAAGGTTCCTGTCCCAACTTCGAATCAAGCCCAGAAAGTGTTGGGGAGCATGGTCAGCAAAGAATGTAGGTATCCAGAGAGGGTGGAGGAGCGGACCAGAAACTATATTGCATCTCCACCTGTAATTATATCTCTCTTTATCTCTTAGCCAGTCAGATGGTGGACCTGGATGAGTTTGTTGAGATGACTAAGAACTATGCACAGGGTATTGCCCCGGCTACTCCCAAGAATGGCAGCCAAGTCTCAGCCACAACTGAAAGCCCTGCACTTCATGACAGTCGTACAGGGGTAAAAAAAAAAAGAAAGAAAGAAAAGAAAAGAAAAAAAAGGTTTACACTTTACATAAGAAGAGATAAACTGTTACTTGAACATAGTTTATTTGATACAGCATGGCTGTGAATGTGTTTGTGTTTGCAACTGTGTTTTTAAAGCACAAGGCTGAGTCAGTCTCATCAGGATGCAAGAAGTCAAACAAGAGTGCCTGGAGTTTTGGCCGAAGTGGGATGATGCTGCACACCAGTGAGACCGGAGCCTTTAGAAGGGCCATGGACATGAAGTCACAATTAATAGTACCTGTTACCTCATTATTATTTCACATTTTAATATTCTTTTAAATGTGTTGATATTATCTGTTCATCTTCATATCCGTCTCTCTTCTCCTCAGATGCTGCAGTACCCACTGCATGCAGTTGTTGAGATAAAGGAGCATCTTGTTGATTGGGCATCACGGGCCGGTGTCCAGTGGCTGAGCACAATCATTCCAACACAACACGTCAACGCTCTCATTTTCTTCTTCATCATCAGCAACTTGACGGTGGATCTGTTTGCTTTTGTTATCCCTCTGCTTGTCTTCTACCTCTCCTTCATCGCCATGATCATTTGCACGCTGCGTATTTTCCAGAGGACAAAGGTGAGCATTTCCTTTCAGTTTCATTTAGTAATTTTCACACAGTTAGCAGGACTGTCAGAACCCTGAAAGTTTACATGAAAGTTTATGAAACAAAGTAATTTCTACTGTAAATGTGCATTTATTTTTGCATTTCTCCTTAATCAATGAAATTATGTAGTGCTCAACCAATTTATTACACCACAACCTAATGAAAGGTTTATGCTAAATCTGCCCTACATTAACAGTACTGGTAATGATCAAATTACCAGTAAAAAAATACCACAATCAGTATTTTTAATGCAAAAATATAATTATTGTTTCAAATGTACTGTGTTGCTAAAAGTTGCTTTTTATGCTAAATGCTTTTTATTCTGCAAACTTAGTATTTCTGACCCCAAAGATACAAAAAAGGGACACAATCTCAGATTTAAAATTTGCAGCACATTAAAAAAATTCAACCAACCTCAATCCACTTTGAATGCCTATAAATCAGAAAATATTTATAGCATGAATGTAAACTTTGCGGATGAAATTTTTGTACAAAAAAGTCAGCTAATGCTAAATGGGATAGGTGAGAATATGTTTTCTGTTGTTGTTGGTTTTTTTTTCTTTAATTTGTTTGATATTGAATTTCAGTCTAAATACCCTGCATTTAAATTTCTTTGGAGTGCTTTGCTTCCTTTCACTTGTAAACTTTCCCCCTTTTTCTAGACCTGGGAGAACTTTAGTGCCCTGACATCTCTGCTGACACGGTTTGAACCTGGCCTTGATGTGGAGCAAGCAGAGACAAACTTTGGCTGGAACAACCTTGAACCGTACCTCTATTTTATCTTCTCCGTCTTCTTTGTAATTTTCTCCTTCCCTGTAGCAGACAAGAATTGGATCCCCTGTTCTGAGCTCTCGACTGTGGCCATCTTCTTTACTGCTGTCAGCTACCACAGCCTCAGCCCAAATGCCACAGCATATGCACGCCGGGCAATGGTTATAGAGGTCAATTGACTGAGTGATTGAATGATCAGAATTACTGTCTTGCCTGTTGCTAAGTATAATTTACACTAATAATATTGCTGCTTAATTAATTGTTTTATTCTTAATGAAATGATTTGGAATTTCTAGGAAACCACTTGTTTGCCTTCTGTCATAAAAACTTGTAGCAGCAACATGACATTGATAACAGAGAAAAAATATTTTTGTAAATACTGGGAAATCTCAGATTTGGGAGTTGAAGTTTTATTTTGCCTTGTAAAACCAGAGTTTGACATAATTTTCTAGTAATGCCTTTTTTAGGCATAAGTTGCATAATTAGCCTGATAGTGACCACATGCTTTCATTCACTCGTTGTTGTGTACGCTGTGTGGCAGGCAGAGGTAGGACCCAAAAGCAGGACTCAGACACAAAGGGATCAACTGAAAGATGCAGCTGAGACTATTTAACCACAAGGGTACTAACAACCAAAAACTCAGAAATTAGCAACTAGGAACTATAAACTGGTAACAAACAACTAGGAGATTAAAACTAGGAATTAACAAGTAAAACATGGCACACATGGCAAACAGGGACAACACGACAATGTGCAGAGGAAGAGAGAGGACTTAAATACACACATGATAACGAGAGGATGGGACACAATGAGAACTAATACAGACAAACAGGACAAGAGAAGCAAAACTTAACAAACTGTACACACTATGAGAGACTGTCAAAATAAAACAGGAAGTACAATAACCACACAGACAAAGACTAAGAAACAAGTGTTTGACACTGGGACCAGGGGAGAAACAGACATGGGAACAAAACTGACTGAGGAGACAGAAAAGAAATACTAAACACGGAGATAAGAGTAAAACAAACATGAAGACAAGTCTGATAAAACAGTCTGTGGAACATAGGAGAGGCATGGAAACAGAACCTGAAGACTAGATGGCAAAACTAAGGCCAGAAACTACAAGTATTACACAAAACAGAAAAACAACTAAAAGAACCAGAACTACGGATATAAACTAAACCATAGAATGGGTTAAAGGGTTTTTATGTGTACTTAACCTCAGTTTTATGAATGGAAAACATGCAATGCTGTTGTGCAAGGTTTTAACAAATGTCGACAAAAATCTCTTTCCTATTTATAATCTTAATGTTTTTATGACAGTGAAATAAAACAGCCTTCTCCAAGTTAATCAAAACCTCTGTTGTGTCCTTGCATTTGGTTTAATCCAGATGGCATCATCTCTCTGTTGCCTGACGCAGTTCTTGCCACAGAACATGACGGCGCTTCATTTACTGGGACGCACCTTCGCCACTCTGCCACTGGGGGAGTCTGTGGTGCTGAAGCTCAGTCTCCCCTGCTTGCTTTATGTTTACCTGTTCTATCTGTTCTTCAGGTAAGAAAGATTTGGACAAACTGAAATATTGATTACTTATATTAGTAAAATTCTCAAACTGGTCTTACTCCTGTCTGCCGTGTTGTTTTATTCTATGTTAAAATGACAGATTTACTCTTCAGACACTTAAAGTAATCTCAGAACTTTTTACCCCCTCCTTTTTGTTTCTCCTTCCTTAGCATGGCGAGGTTGCGTGGTTTCCGGGGAACTTACTGCTTCCTGGTTCCGTATCTTGTGTGCTTCATGTGGTGCGAGTTCTCAGTGGTCCTCCTCCAGAATTCCACTGTTGTGGGTCTAATCCGCACTTGTGTGGCTTACTTTCTCTTCCTGTTTGCCTTGCCTGTTCTGGCATTTGGTCTCGCCACCATGCTCTTCATCCAAGTGTTTAAGTGGTTCCTCGAGCTAGAACTGACAAAGATGATTGTGACTCTGGTAATATGTGCGATCCCTGTCACCTTGCGGCTGTGGACGCGGTTCAGCACGTCCATTCTGGATGTCTTTCGCTCACTGACTCATCGGGGTCCAGTCAAACTCATTTTACTCTGCATCTCCATGGTCCTTCTATTCTTCTCTGTCTATGTGTACCATGCAGAAGGTGAGAAGGTGTACAACTCCACCCTTACTTGGAGTCAGTATGGCCAGGTTTGTGGGCCTCCTGCTTGGGAAACCAAAGGCATAGCCCAGACACAAATCTTCTGTAGCCACCTGAATGGACACAGAGTCACCTGGACTGGGCGCTTCAAGCAAGTCCGTGTGGCTGAAACGGAGAATGGGGCACAGTCTGTGATCAACATGTTGCCGGTGTTTGTGGGAGATTGGCTGCGCTGCTTGTACGGTGAGACCTATCCCAAATGTGAGCCAAAGAATGCCGCAGTTGCAAATCTGACAGCTGCAGATTTGACAGCCAGTTCTGCATCAGGGCCTGTTTCACTGCCAATCCTCCTTCTATCGCAAGATGAGGAAGAACTGTGTCAGCTCAAGGCTCTGGCTAAACATACCTGCCATGTCAAGCGTTTCGACAGCTACCGCTTTGAAGTGACAGTGGGAATGATCCAGGATGAACGTGGAGAGAGAGAGGACCCAGCCAGAGATATAGTCCTAATGGCGAGTCATGAGTTCAGACAGGTGCTTCTAAATCTGAGCCCTGGTAATAAGGTGGAGTTTAGCACCAAACTGGAGGGACGTCTAGGAGCCAGAGCTCCAGCCTTTGAGTTGAAAGCTATCCACTGTCTTGACTGTCCTTCTTCAGTGCTCACTGGAGGCAGGCAGGTGAAAATAGAGAGAAACTGGAGACGTACCACAATGAAAGCCCTGAAGTTTGCATTTGATTTTTTCTTTTCCCCATTTTTGTCAGCAAAAATTTAAAACTAGTAATTAAAAGTAGAAATAAAATAACCTATTTGAGTCTCTCCAGCACATCATCTTGTTTCTTATGATGTTAGTCTAGAAGCACTGATGCAATTAAAATAGTATTTTTTTAATTGGATGGATCTATAAAGTTTGTGTTCCTGTGCATTAGTTTATGCAGATCCTACTTTTACTTCATCTACAGCAGTTCAAGAATCGTCAGACACCAACTTTGGCAAGACTCATGATCTGTTCTATTTTCAAATCCATTTTATGTCTAGCTAGAGTTAAACGTATACACACACAACCTAATATATAATAATATGTTATAATATAGTTATAAAGAACTGGAAGATTGCTGTAATTTGATGGTATCCAGCTGTATGCAAGAAGGTTAATGCTGGGTGCTGTTCTCCTTTGAATACCTAGAAAACTGCACATTTGTTGAAAACAAAATAGTGACTGAGTAGATTTTATATCTGCCTTTGTATTTAGAAATGTATCTAGAAATATAGTGTATGGTTAAGATATTTGCATTTGTATTCTGTTTATATTTGTGCATTTTCAAATGCATATTTAAATATTTTTATGGAAACATATGACACAAATTTAGTGATAATATATATGCATTTCTGGCTTCCTCTGTTAGGCAATATTTTATGATGTTGTCTTTAAACTTCCTGGTCTTGACTTTATTTTTAGCATCAGATTTTCCTGTCTCTCAAGCTATGATGCACATGCAGTCATTTTGAAAAGCCAGCATAAAACTTTCATCCAGGGGGGGTTGCAGTAAACTTGCAGATTTTTGTATTACACATATCAAAATGCATCAAATGTGGTGCTGTGGATTATACACAGATATCTACACTTTGGTCTGATCTGTTTCTCATCAAGACATCGTTCCAGAAGTCTTGTGGTTTGCCCAGATGCAGATCTGCAAACTTAAACTGTGTTGACATCTTGTTTTTAGAGGAAGAGCCTTTCTCCTGGAACCCCTTCTACCCAAGTTGTACTTTTTATAAATTTACTATCATGAACTTTAACATATTCAGGCCTATAGAGGCTAAGACATAGTGCTTGTTGTTCTTGTAGGTGATCTGAGAGTTACACAGTGTGACTTTGGAGTGAATTTGCTGGGGCATCCCCCTCATTGGAAGATTGTGGCATTTTGTTAACACACATGAGAATGCTCCAGCCCAGAAAACTGCCAAAACCTCTGCTTTTATAGACGTGCTCACTTGCTGATGATCAATAACCAGACGCAAATAAGGTTGAACTTTGTGCAGTTCTGTGAAAACTTTCGTTATCACATTAACACACACTAGACCTCCTTTTATGGTATTTCTCAAATGTATGCAAATGACAAATTTAAGACACACCATGTTCATTCCATAACAATTAAGAATTACCAGGAATGTTTAAAATGAGTTGTTTCACTGAGTTGAACACAATATTGGTTCAAGTTAAGAGACCATTTTGTTTACAGAATCCGAACCTTTAAAGAAAAACAGTTTTTATCTCTAAATTTGCCAGTTTGGAATTTGACTGAAGAAAGAGGTACTAAAGAAAATATTGTACACATAATTAAAATAAGCCCTGTGAAAGATTGGCGATGTGCCCAGAGTGTATCGCCACCTCTCAACCCTAAGCTCCATAAGCTCCAGCAGCCCTGAATTGGATACGTGGAAGAAGATGGATGGACGGATAGTTAAAATAACAGTAATGAATGATTAATTTATTTTTGAAATGGGGGTTTTCCTAGCTATCTGGTTTACACAGTACAGTAATGCAGTGGTGGTGTATGAAAAGCTTTACACATAAACACTATCAATCTGTAACCTCAATGCTCGTGTGGATTACAATTGCTGACGTTGAGCCTCGACACTGTAAATGTGAGTGCCTTTTTTTTTCCACTGGTGGAGTTAAATGGGGTGTCTATTAAAATGCTTGAATTGGGGGGGAAAAATCTCTTGTGAAAGGTTTTATTCAGATTAATAGATTTTTTTATATATATTTCTTTTTTGGTGATGAGACAAAAAGCAGAATCTATTAAATGAGGACAGACATTAAAATGAAATCCAACACATTTTTGTTAGATTTTATGTTATTTTATTAATGCACATTCCTTTCATTCACCTCATATGAGTTATGTTTTGGTACTGTTAGATTTTTAAAGCATGATAGATATACACGCTAGTAGCATTGAGTAATGGCGACATGCTGCTGCTGCTGTGCTCCCGAACACAAATCGTCTCACTGGTTGTATGTGTTGGTGGTTATGATGCGATTACAACTGACTTGTTCTAAACTACATTTCGCCACTGCAGGGATGAACCTCGGAGCTTACATAATGCTTCACAAGGCCCTTCACTATGTAAAACCGTTTTCTTGTGGGTTGTCGTCATCATGGATTTTGCTGTGTCGTACATGTTAAATCAATAAGTGAAAAACTGTACCTGCACATGATAACACTGGCTGGTAGTGAAGACAAAAAATATATATGCCCATAAGAAAACCATCTTAGCTACAGGCAGATAACACAGATGTGTGTGAACAGCAACTTGGAAAACCAAACGGGCATGAGGGAGAGAGGAGGAAGCAGGTGTGACAGCAGTTATTTCTTTACACTGTTGATTCTTCAGATTTTGAAAATGTGCAAAGGGACTTGATATTCTCTACCTTTGCACTGGTTATGTTACCCCACCCACTACAGTACACATTTAAACCACTTACAATAATCCCATCAGGGCCAAGGTCACTTGAAAATAAAGTACTTCACTGTAAACAAACAAGTCTCACGCGATCCAACACAGACATCACCTTACTGTACTGCTGTACATCCCAGGCTTTCAGAGTCGCACCGCAGAGTAGCATGTGGCGCTGTGAGGTATACGGTGTAATGACATTAAGATCTTGTGATAGTATGAATTCACATGACATTACTGCTGTGATGAGCTATTGCACTGATGATAACCTCTAACCTCCAAGCACACTGGACACAAAGTCAACTTTGATTTAAATTTGGGAGTCTCAACGATAAACGATGTGCTTAGAATTCAAGTTTGTCCAAACTGCAAGATTCCCCCATCAATACACACACTGCCTCCTTCAACTGCTATGTTTTCTCATATAAGCATGTGGATTTGTTTCTTTCCTCTTTTTCTTTTTTTTTCTTTTTTACATGAGATTACCATGATACAGCAATCAAAACACAATAAGGGCTTAATATACACAACCAAACAGTTAGTGTTTTTTGTGCACAATTTTACCCCGTCCTCTCTACAGCCAGCGACAACTACCTATATACTGCTACGAGAAAATATCTGATAAAGTGTGATTCCACAAACCTTATTATAAATGAGATCTCACACCGATTTAGAGTGTCCTTGACAAAATGCTTTTTTTTCTTAGCTCTCTGGAACTGAAAATTGGTACCGCCTTTAAAAAAAAACACAGACTATTTACAGCAAACAGTAAAAAGAGTGTGTACATTTTTTTGTTACCTGTAGAAGAAGAGCTCATGTATTAAAGCAGGAATGCTGCTGCACTGTGTTTTGTTAGTGTTATTATTGCAACGTGAACAGGGAAAAGATTACGGGACAGTTATTCGTGCGTTCCCCCAGAGCACTGCTCTGAAGGAGAGACTGAATTGCTGTTGTCACACGACAAAGAAGAAAAAACTTTTAGGAGACTGTTGTGAACTATACAATAACACCATTCCTGATACCTCACCCTAGTGAAAACAATTAGATTTGGATTAAATGCCTGGTAAAGTTTTCCAGCCATTCTATCGGTATATTCTGTAGCATTTAGAAATTACCTCTCAAATGCTAGCTAGCACATAGCTTCCATTTTTATGTGAAAGGTAACCAGAACATTAATGGGAAGTGCAACACGGTGTGAGGAACAGCACTAAGTCGCTGCAGATCGAGAGGTGTCCCTGCACCTCATTGACTGCCCCAACAGTGGGGCAGTTAGACAAACATCTTCAAAAAGTGGAAGTAGAGTGCAGCCAAAAATAAATCAATCAATCAAATGTCCCGATGGGTACTAGATCAGTTCAGTTCGGTGATTAGATTAAACACCTTTAAATAAAATGAACTGAATAAAGAGTCTTGTTATTTTATGATTATTCCAATTATGTACAGACTCTGCATCAAAGCATGTCATCAAACATGCCACTCTCCATGCCCTCGATAGAACATCCAAATATATTCCAGTCACTCTTTGCATTTCTGTGACACTTTGATAAAAAGTACTGTGTCTGCTTCTGTTCATATTTCCATTCTTGTCACTGTGCCTGCGTTTCTGGGTTGACACGATCCTGGAAGATGTACAGATTGTTGGTGGCTGCTATGGCAATTATATTTTCAGATGGGTGCCAAGCCATGTGCAGGATTTTCTTGGTGAAGTCCAAGCTATCGACGCCCACATCGCCCCTGCGACGTTTACCGCCAGTGTACACACGGCGGGTTCGCAGTACAGCCCGGGGCTTGCTGCTCTCTCGCCAGGCCTCCAGGGTTACGCCTCGGCCTGTCTCCCTGTCGAACATCCGGAAGAAGCTGTTGTACGCCCCTGTCATAATCACGCTGGATCATGGAGGAAAGGAGAGGCGAAAGGAAGTAAAGAGCGGGAAGAGACAAGTGGTGTTCATGGTAGAATGAGGGGGAGGAAAAGAGGAAAAAGCAAACTGAATACATGAGGATTGATTTGATGTCTGTAAAGCTTGTCTCTGGGATTGATTTAAACGTCGGATAAAGCAGGAGGCCGGGCATTTAGGAAATCACTGTAAGCAGTAACACACTGACACAGCAGTCTGTTTTTGCTTCCAAATCTACTTAAGCTGTACTTTGTCTGTCCCCCCACTGCCTCTTACCTGTCTGAGCTGTTCCAAACACACTCAAACTTGTCAAAGATGCAGTCGTTTTCGTAGAGGGAACACAGCTTACTCCTCAGGTATTCATGGACCTGGGGATGATGCAAACAGTCAGCTTAAGTTTTGGGGAAGGTAGCATTATCCTGCTCAGGACGCTCACATTTTGGCATTTTAATCTTCTTTCTTGTACTTTGCTCTCATGTATAATACACCGGCAGTAAAAATGAGAAAAGGCTTCCAGATTTTCTTTGGGATCAAGTTGATGCTGCTGAATTATGCTGATCAACTGAATGAATTGTGTATGAATGTAAAAATATATGTATATATTTGAATTTGAAAAGCATAACAAACACCCAAAATTTTCAAATTTGATTCAGACAGATTTTATGTCAGACAAATAATGAATACAATTTCCAAATAGGTGCAGGTAAAATCCTCTACCTGAAAGGTCTCCACTGGGCCTTTATCCATATTGATATCCCACACCTTAGCGGTGAGGTAGTCTCTGGTCAGCAGGTAACGTCCGCTATGGCTGAACTTAACATCCGACACAGAGGAAATAATCTCTGAGAAGAAGGAGCGGTTCCCTGGATCCTCAGGCTCCTCAAAAACTAATCAGACAGAAATATAATTGCATTGCTTTCGTGAGAGCAAGATTCCTCATGCACAGCTTGCAGTAAACTCTTTAAAATGTTTCCTCACGTTTGGTATGTTTGTCGCAGAGAGCCGAGGCTCTCATGTCACAGAGGCGCAGCGTTCCCTTGCTGCTGCTGTACACGAACAAGTGGCAGTGGTGAGGGTGGAACTCTGCCGCTGTTATCACCTCCGTCAGATCCTCCATGTTTGCTGGTTTGATGTCTACAATATCTGAGAAGCAGAGCCATCAAGGAACAAACAGCGCAGACATTAAGCACCACATAAATCTGGCGAGCTGGGTTTCTACCACAGCCACACCGAATTCCATGACTATGTTTACATTTTGTCAATTGAGGCAGCAGACATGCAAACAAATCACTTATATTCATTCATGCAGTCTTTTTATTTTCAGATGATCTACACGTTCACAACCTAAATTCATAAAGACATCCCGGAAAAAAAAAAACTGCACCCCATCCTATCCCCAATATGCATGCACAGGCTGTTCCTCTCTGTTCTATTTGTGGTAGTCCTGTGTGGCTCAGAAGAAAGTGTACTGCTGTGTGAATTATTTAAACTCGTCTTCCATAGATGCCTCTATGATTTTCTAGGTCAGCTTCCATTTGAATGGGGAAATCACAACATGCAGCCAGTCCCACATGCTACCACCTGCACTGACTACACAGCATTATAATGGAAACACAAATCCAATCAGAGTCACGTTGTTTACGTTAAGTATAAATCAGAAGATGAATTTGGATGATTGGTTATGATCACTGTACATAACCTGGAATTGGCTCCGTGATATTTTAGGCATAAATTTAGATGACAGTGGATGAAATACAAACACAGATTAGAAGCATATGGGATGCGTTCCCAACACTGCTCAATTTCTTTTTCTTTAGTAAGCAAACTACATACATAATGATCAATACTGATAACTAAAATCATGCACACTAACATACTAGCATGAATTGTTTTACAGTGTACCTTAACACAATTAAAATGGGATTTTATCCTTTATGGACACTTCACCATAAAATCAAACACAAAAAAAGCTTACTGACGTATATTAAACTTTTTCTTTTTTTTTTTCCCTTTTGGTGTAGACAGGAATCTTTACCTGTTTAGGTATATTGTTCTCATTGCTGTTTTACAATTACCATAAGGATACAGTTATACTTTAACAATGAACAGTGATCTAATTCATACCGCTGAATTCTCTGTAAAATTGAAGGAGTTTCCACCACACAAAAGTCTGAGAGGAGCTATAGAATTATTTAAAGCAAATGGTCATGGTTGGTTAAACTGAAAATAGTGTGTTATAATACAAAGAAAAGACAGTAAGGATACTGAAACTGCGGTCTGTGATGCCCAGGTGCCACATGTTGATGCGGAGGTCGTCAGCAGACAGGTAGGTTTCCCCATCGCTGTTGACTGAGATGGAGTTGACATGGTAGGTATGTCCATTAGCGAATACTCTTCTGGGACGGACCTCCACCATTAGATCTGTAGGTTTCAGCACTGGCACCTTAAATGGTGAGAGATAAAAGATTTAAGGCGGAAGGGAGGAGGTGATAAGAACAGGAGGAGTAAATCATAGGGCAAAAAGAAAGACAACAATGAGAAAGGACATAATTGGAGGACAGTAGAGCCATGGATCATTTAAGGACAGGAGCAAAAAGACAGACACTTGATTTGATGATTAAATGTTAGCCTGATAAATACTTGTATCAGGCATACCCAACAAAATGAAAGTGTGCAGTTGTATGTGTGTGTCCGAGTACCTGTAGAGAGGTGATGGTAGAGATGTCCTTGAGCCGTCCCTCCTCATCTTTCAGGTTGTATCCTTCTGGTCTCTTGTCTCTCTCGCTTACCTTCCACAGTTTAATAGTCTTATCTGTGACAGGCATCGGGATTTGCGTGCCAGAAAATGATGATTACATTCGTCTGTGAAGGTTCTCAGTCATCCAGGTCATCGTAGTCAAAGGAGCTTGCAAAGAAAAGCGTCTGGACTTCTTTGAGTTGCTAGAACTTAAAGAAGTCCAGACGCTTTTCTTTGCAAGCTCCTTTGACGATGATTACATTCATTGAAAATTGCAAAGCACAACAAAAATCACATTTGCAGCTAATTTAAAACATAATACTTAATTCATGCACCAAATTTAGATTTTTTTTTCTGTGCCATTATTGCACCCGTAGGTGAGACTCCAAAGACTATCTTGATGTTATTTAATTCTATGTAGGTAATAAAAGATGACACAAGGCTGCCATAATTTTGGAAATTGGAGGTAGTTTGAAACCAAAGTGTGTAAGCAATACCTGTGCCATATCAAGCAAAAACAACTGCTATTTATAACAAATCTCTCTCTCTCACTATCTCTCAATATATATATATATAGATAGATAGATAGATAGATAGATAGATAGATAGATAGATAGATAGATAGATAGATAGATAGATAGATAGATAGATAGATAGATAGATA